TGCTAACCTTGTTTTCACCAAATGTACCAATCTTCACTCATCTGTGTGTAGCCAATCCTTTCTTCCGCAATAACTTCTCAAAGAAATAAAACAGCTCTCATAGTGCAATACGCTCAAAAACTCATTCCCCTTAAAATAAAATAATTTAAAAAAAAGTATAGAACACTCTCGAGTACAGTGTGATAAATCCTTTAAGGAAAACCATTAGCATCAGTACATATGAAAGGAGCTTACTTTTGGTTTCCACATGTGCACAATGAGGTCACATGGCCCCACCCTAACGCGCTTTGTCATGCTTTGTGAAGTCTTCTGTTCAAGCTAATGTGGATTCTGAAGCCATCATGTAGTTGTTTTTACCAAATCAGATTTTTTTTATTGTGCACTGTGTTTTGCAAAAAATGTTATTTAAATTTTGATCAACAGTATTTAAAACCACACTATAATTTATAGCAGGTAAAAAGTGACATTTCTTGCACATTCGCTATGGACTTTTTTACAAGTTTTTCTATCTTGAGCTGGTGGATCTGTGCATTTTCACTAAACAGTAATTGCCAATGGGGATACAGTTGAGAAAATCATAATTTTGACACTGTGGATTGAATTCCTATTTTTGATAATTGTTACAAATTTCTAAAAATAAACATTTAAAAAAGCCTAGCTTCCCTGTCAATGAAAATGAGGCAATGAGCCTGTGACCTTCCTCCATACCATGCTGCGGTACTGAGATGTACTGGATGAGGGGTACACAAAAAGGGAGATAGCTCTTCAAATCACTGGACTCAATGATGACATTGTGGGGACCTCAGAATATCCAATCCACCAGGAGAGGGTAGGAAAACTTGAGGCTTTTATATTAGCTATCTGCACCCTATGAAGAGAAAGAATCCGACCACCTACACCCTGGTGAACTGGTGTTAAGGGTTCTTTAATCCCTTAACCAGCTTGCCATGTGTATATTTCAGAAAAGTGTTAAAAACACATATACACTAAAAAAAAGGCTCTCCTCTTCCACTACCCCCCTAAAAGGAATCCAAAAGCCCTCTCTTTCACTTGTTCAGCAAATGAAGGTGATAACCATTAAGTGACATGTATTCAATACTTGGGGAATGCTGGGGAGGCATGTCTTCTTAAACTGGGTATGCACTTTTTTTTTGGTTCTGCTAGAAGCGACATTGTATTCTGACAGTGAGGACTCTCCTTTGTCAGGATATACTGATCAGCGCTGCATTCAATTGGCTGCAAGCCGCTGATTGGACAAGGTCAACTTTTGTTGTACTTGAAGGGCTACACAAAGGTCAAGGTTTGACCAGTCCTTGCTGAACCAATTGAATTTTGATCTGTGTGTACCCAACCTTAGTCCAAATATGTTGAGTAATGTGATAATGTTAGTGACGAGATGTCATGAAGAACTCAAGGGAGATACCTACCCATAGTTTCCTGTGCATTTAAAACAATTGTTCACTGCAGATTCCCTTCCCTTCTCAGATGGGGGCTAAACAGAGGGATCCCAGTGAGGGCAATTTAAAAAATAAATCTGATAAAGAACATATAAGATGCCACTTAATGGCATCTAAACTTAAAGGGGATGTTCACATCCTTGACCCCTAAAGAAATGAATTGGAGTTGTCAAAGAACCATGGTCCATCAGCATTGGGTTTAGTGCTATGGAAGAGGTACCTCTTTTGTGGAAACGTTTCAGAGCTCCCCCTGATGCTGATATGTTTGCAATCTAATTATTATAGCAGAGAGGTTGGATGCTTTCTGTCCCCTTGCTATAGGGATAACAGTTTAGTTTATGTGCAGTGAGGTAAAGGGAAAGTATGTTTTAAAAAAATATTCTAACAAAAACAAGTTAAAGTAGAATTCCGGGATCAACTTAACTCATCTTAAAATTGTGCCCCCCCTTCCTAACACCTATATGTCCATGCGAAAGAAAGATGTGGACACTTACCTATTCTCAAGCTGATCCAATCACGTGATCTCCCCTGTGTCAGGCAGCATCGGCTGTAGGGGAGAGGAGAAAGCAATCGACAGTGGAAGGAATGCCTGAATGGTGACGTCTCCCATAGAGTTACTGTGGGCCATCCTTTATCGGCACACCCTCCTCTCCCCTGAATCCGCTGCTAGCTCACAGGGGAGATGATCACATGACCAGACCAGAGAGGCTGAAAATAGGTACGTATTTGCATCTTTCTTCCACAGGGTAGTTTGTATAGGTGTTAGGAGGTAGGTGGGAGCAGTTTTTAATTAGATTGATCCTGGGATTCCACTTTAAAGTTGATCTATGGTCAAAATGTAAAATCATTTATCGATTTTCACATTGTATTTCAATTTTTTGTAGCCTTCTCCTATTAATCAGAATGACTTTGAAGTTTGTAACTTACTTTGTGAATTGATTTCTTTGAATTCAGTGACATGTATTCACTGTGCCCTGTGCGTAGGCACTGCTGTGTCACACATTTCACTGAGCCTGCCTTCTGAGCTGCAGAGGTGCTGAGAGGAGGAGTTTCAGGAGGCAGAGTCAGTAAAGGAATCACAGCTTGCAGGCAGCAAGGCACCATGGGATATGTAGCCCTAAAAAAATGAAAGTAAACAGCAGAGAAGATGAAAATAATGCAGGAAATCCATTAACTTTTGGAAATAGATGGCCAGCAGGGATGCAGTAATCACAACACGAAAAGGAGATATTTGAACCAAGCTCATATTGGATTGTCAAAAAGAACTATAGTTTCTATTGTTGTATTACAATTCTAATATTATGAAATGAAAGTGTATACCAGGACTATAGGTCTCCCTTAACCACTTGCTCTCCTGAGGATTTACCCCCCTTCCTGACCAGGCCATTTTTTGCACTACGACGCTGCGTTACTTTGACAATTGTGCAGTCATGCAATGCTACACCCAAATTAAATTTACGTCTTTTTGAGCTTTCTTTCGGTGGTATTTGATCGCGTGTGCATTTTTTTATTATTTGCGCTATAAAAAAAAGACCGACCGTGTTGAGAAAAAAAATGTTTTTGACTTTTTGCTATTAAACATGTCCAGTAAATAAATTTAGGCCAAAATGTATTCTGCTACATGTCTTTGCTAAAAACAAAATCCCAATAAGTGTAAATTAATTGGTTTACGTGAAAGTTTTAGTGTTTACAAATGGCGGTATAGATACTGGAATTTTTTTTTATTAATTCTTACTAGTAATGGCGGTGATCAGCGACTTATAGCAGGACTGCGGTGGGTATTCTGACACTGGGGGATATTATTAAGCTACCAACATTCTACTAGTTTGTCCAGCTAAACAAAAGGCACGCATGGATGACAGTTTTAACATTCAATTTAGGTATGTATACTCACAACCCTTAGATGAACTTGGTTCATTTACTGCAGATTTCTCTAAAAAAGGTGAAAGAAGCATTTAATGTGTTGCTAAACCCTAAAATTTTAAAATAATCTATAATGCTGCTTAAGTAAGTGCTCAGTACTTACTGGGTTTCCTGTGCATTTTTCTTGCATTCTATCTGATAAAAGAGACTCTCCAAAAGTTCCTGCTTTAGGGTGGCTCCATCCTGTTGCAAGGTCTCATGGAGCCACCTCTATGTGTCCATGCTCCTGGCTGGAATGTTTCTGTCATTTAATTGAATAGATTCATAAAAAAATTATGGAATATTTAATATCACTTTAGTTTCTACAAATATGCTAAGCAATGCACTTTATGTACAGTATATAGGTTGAACTATTCAAACATTTACATGTGTGGGTACATGCAATAAAGTCATATAAATGTGGCTGCATGGTTCTGAGATTCTGTACAGTAGTTACAAGAGGATCAACTTTGCTCTTCTTAAAATGGTATATACTTTATATGGCTAATGATTTGTGGACACCTGACCATCACACCTTTATTACTTGTTGAACATCCCAATACAACACCAAGGGCATTATGTACAGTTGCCCCTCACAGCTATAATAGCCTTGTTTCTTCATGGAAAGCTTTTCCCAAGATATTAGAGTTTCTGTGGGAATATCAGCCAAATAAGCTGAAATTTGGGAGGTCAGGTTCTGATGTTGGACAAGAAGAACTGGCGTGTATTGACTTCCAGTTCATGCCAATGGTATTTAGTATGGTTGAGGTAGGTCTCTGTGCAGGCCATTCAAGTTCCTCCACATCAAACTCATCAAACCTTAAAGCAGAACTTAACTTCCAAAAAGGAGTTAGTTCCATTTTACACTTCCTCACTTCCCAAGCAGAATGGTGGGAAATGTTTTTAAAAAGATTTTCTATTCTATTTTTTTACTTTTTGCCCCTCCACCAACCTAGGCCAGAATGAAGTGTACCTAGTTCTGCAGCCTCTTGGGATTCTTACATCACATCTTCCAGGAGGCTGAAGGATTGGCACACAGAGCCGCTGGAGGACAGGCTGGGAGCAGGTCCAGCAAGCACATCTTCGGAGCTTGCTGCCTGCACCTGGAAAAGCCATCCAACTGAAGAGGACCAAAATGATGACACCTGAACAGTGGATCGCAGTGAGACAACACTGGATTCACTGCATACGTGAGCATGTGTTTTGAAGAGGATGCAACACAACAGGTCGGAGGGAAAAATACATGGGTGGGGGTTGGGGCAGCTGAGTACTACTTTAATATACTTAGGTTTGTGCACCCAAACGTAATAATTTGGAGGGATGTTCACATATATTTGGCCATATAATGTATTGAACTACTTGCTGGCTAATGACAATATTTTGCATATCATGTGTGATGACAAAATTAGAGGAAGCAATGTACGATCAAAAATGAAAATGTATGTGCAGTTGTCCGTAGGCTCTAGTAAAGTAGAACATTCTGACAAATCTATTGGAATATCTACTAAAGAATTTCAAGTTTAATGGCAAGAATGACAGTTTGGGCCTTTGTAGATGGGTGCGGTATGTGGAAACTGTGCTGTGCTCTAGGGCTTCTCTGCTAATGGATAGATTTATCATGCTATGGTAGACATGTTGTCATGTTCATGTCATGTCTTGCAGGTGAGCATCTGAGGATCTGTCCACAAGGCTACACCTGCTGCACCTCGGAGATGGAGGAAAACTTTGCCAATATCAGCAAATTAGATTTTGACAACTCACTGCGAGACTCCAGCCTGTCAGTGCAAACCCTGCTTATCTCACAGAACAAGAACTTTGATAGTAAGAGCGTTCACCTTTTATTAGTAATATGTCTGTATATAATATTGTGTTCACCAGCTGGCACAATAAAATAAATAATGTATATTTTGGAATAGATCCACAGTAATAATTCACATGCTCATGGGATTGTACTTGTACTTTAAATTATTAACACCTTATTGTAACTGGACACCAGTGGTGTGTAAAATAGATGAAAGTCCTACATGTATATTGGATTATGGCAATTACTCCACGCTCAATGGTAATCAGTAGAGAGAAAGAGTGTTTAGCCAAATGCAAAAATGCTTTCAACAATGTGTTGCTTTACTATGTCCAGTTAATTCTCTGTTGTCTTTTGTCTGTCATAACCCACCTTGGTTACTGATTGACTAACGTTCATCTAACTGAATCATTATGAGAATAAGCCACCTATTATTCTTATTGCTGGTATATCTAAATTAAATGGGTGACATTTATTTTAAGGTCTTTCTCATGGCTTACTAATAGATTGCACATTGATAACTTTACAATTTACCCACAAAATTTGTAGCAGCAGAGGGTTGTACCATGCTGATTAGCAATAAAAAAAGAAAATGTGATCTTTAAATTTACCAAAAACACTCTATCCCATTTTATTTCTCTCCTGAACTTGTAAATATATAAACTGCAGACAATGATATCCCTTTCACAGGTCTCTATATGGCCAGTGCTTACATTGGTCAGTGACCCATCTCGCTGCATCCAGTCTTCCAATTCTCTGACCCATGCATGTACATGGGTCAGTGAATTGAATTATATTTAATACTCAATATGGCTTTGCATTAGGGATGGACATCTTTTTTTTTTTTTTAAATTGCTGTAACATTCATGTGCACAAGTAGTTGCTAGTAAGGATTTGGAAACTGAAAATGTGCAGCAATATGTAATAATATCAATTGAAATAAAATTGACCTAATATTATTTTTAGTAAATTAAGTACCTCCATCTTGCCAGGAAAAAAAAAACAACTACACCCAAGTTCTAACCTGTGTAACTTAAAGTCGAAGCAAAGATCACTTTGGGGGAGATTTAATAAAAAAGGTGCACACAGAATCTGTTGCAGGTGTGCATAGTAACCAATCAGATTCTAACTTTAGCTTGTTCAGTTAGCTTTGACAATAAAACCGAAAAGCTGATTGGTCACTATCCACCAGATTCTGTGCGTACCGGGTTTAGTACATCTCCTCCTTTGTGTCTATCAAAAAAATTGTGGGTATTTTAAAACATGAGAACAGGAATGTTGAGAGTCTTGTTTTCAATCAGACAGATCGGGGTTTATTTACTAAAGCTGGAGAGTGCAAAATCAGACTCACTTCTGCATAGAAACCAATCAGCTTCCAGGTTTCATTGCCAAAGCTTCATTGAACAAGCTGAGGTTAGAAGCTGATTGGTTTCTATGCAGAAGGGAGTCTGATTTTGGACTCTCCAGCTTTAGTAAATAAACCCCATCCTGTCTGGTATACTTATGTGGAGCTAAGTGGCTGAGCAAGGCACAAGCATTTTGCAGTATTATTGGAAAAAAAGCCTGCATATCTAATGAGAACAATTGGCAGCCAATGTTACATTTAATTACACCATATACATAGAAACAGAGATTTGAATGTATACAGACATTTGATAGGACTATATCACTAGGCTGAACTCTTTCACAAGTATAGCTATAAAACATTCTAAAAGTGACAGTTTCTCTGACACAATAATTACACCGAAATCAACATTCACTGTATCCACACCATTAAAAAAAATAAATAAATCTGACTGTGGCATTTTAACATACATATACCACATCTTTTGTCTTCATGGAGTTAGCTGACACCGCCTTTCTATGTGAATTTTAGACATGCAACTAACATTGAACATTTCATTGCAAAAAAAGGTGGCAGCTGCTTAAACAGGTTCAAACTAGATAGGGAGGTACACAATGGCTAATCCTTGAAGTATAAAATACAAAATTCTCCAGCTCTCATCTCTATTATCCTGCAAAGGGGATCTATTATTTAGTTTTCTATTGTCGTTAAAAACATTAGCATGAAAAAAATAATTAAACATTTTTAACAAACAAAAACTTAAAGGAAAATTGCAGCGTTTGTTCAGTGGGTGCATATATTGAGCTGTTATTAAATTGTACCTAATAGTAATTGATTTATGTAATTGTTATCTCTCACGAGCAAGGCCCTCTTGACCATCCTGTATTGAATTATATTGTTACTGTACTGTCTTCCCTATTTTACAAAGTGCTGCACAAACTGTTAGTGCTATTTACACCCTATATGAGAATAATATATTAATGCAGTACTAAACCACAAAACAAAACAAAAAACAAGAAAATCTCCTGCCTGCAAATTAAGAGCGTAATGTGCGTGGCATACCAACACATAATGAAAGACTTACCTTAAAACGAAGCTCTCCAGCTGCACATTGTCAAAGCTGACAGGGCTTGCATTTACACCCGGTCTTCTGTTCAGTTTCGCAGACTCCAGCCATTTGAATGGCTGAGCCGTGGCGATGCCACTCTTGCGCATGCGTGCGAGTGTCATGGCTCCGACACAGCTCTTTCAGTGGATGGCACTCCGTCCATTGAGAGCATAGTGCACATGCGCCAGTGATATCACCACTGCTACTAAAGTAAATATCTGGTAAACAGTGCACATTTAGGATATATTTACTGTACCTACAGTTAAGCCTTATTATAGACTTACCTGTAGGTATGTACCCTTCAAAGGAGATCACTACCTCTTTAAGTCGTGTTGAAGACAGGAGATATTTTCTACTAGTGTGAACATTTGGTGATGTTGGAAAAACCAAGCAGTACTACACTTTATTTCCCTGTACAGTCCTTAGGCTCCATGCACTATTTTTTTGTTTTTTTTAAGCACAAAAAACACTGGTAATAGCATTTTTAGTTGCATTTTAGAAGCATTTTGAAGCATTTAGGGCATTAGCATTTATTAGAGTTTTCACAGAGGAAAAAAAATAGCTAGAAAAAAAGCTGTTAGGAGCCTTTTAGTAGTGTTTAGGAGCATTTTTTTTCTGCAGGAAAAATTCTCTAAGGCTCCATGCACACTAGCATTTTTTAAGCTCCTAGAAGCTATTATCAGCATATTTGTTCTGCTCCTAGAAGCTAAATAGTGTTATCCTTTGTGTCCATGCACATATTAGCATTTTTTGAGCTACAGCGTCTAGGAACAGAAAAAAATTTAGTTTTTTAGAGCAGTTTTTCCAGTAGAAACACAAACACAAATAAAATGCTTCTCACAGCTTTTTTGTAGCATATACTGTAAAAACACTAATAAAACGCAAATTCTCCTGAACGCTACTAAAAAATATTATTACCAGCATTTTTTATCCAGCGTTTTTTTTTTAGCTTAAAAAAATGTTAGTGTGCTTGAAGCCTGAAAAACTCTACATTTAGCTTCTAGGATCAGAAAAAATGCTAATAACAGCTTCTAGGAGCTTAAAAAAATGATAGTGTGCATGGAGCCTGAAAGTTCTTCCAGGCAAATGAAAGCAGGCAAGTGGTGCTGAAACACAGCTGCTACAAGTGTAACGGTAAAAGTGGCTGGCTGTTTTCATCTGGTGTCTCAATTCATTAAGAAGGATCCTTGAAACTATAAACAAGTGCGCTGGGCCCCTGCTTAGTGAAAAAATCAAGGATTCAGAGAATAAACACGGTGGAGAAATCTGTGGCAGGTAGGATCCAGATAAAAGAAGTTTAGGTAAGCTCAGTGGGACACTGGTAGTTAGGGCCTAGGATGACCTGTTTGCCCAACCCCAACGCAGGGTTCCAACAAGGCTCCTTATTGGCTCCCAATCATGACATGCAGTTTACTGTAATATCATTGCTACTTGACATTTTTAATGAAAGATACAGTAAATCTCTAGTCTAAGGTAAATCAATGTTTTTTCAGACTATAATAATGGTGGATGATTTTATAAATTGTACCTGGTAAGGCCAAAGTAACTGTGTACACATCATGAATTCCAAGCTCATGGGAAGTACTTGTAAAATAGAATGGAGTAATTCACATTTTAAAGGGTGTTTCTCTGTTTGATCTGAGACATCTGTTAGTGAGAATGCCTCATCCTGACTATCCCAAGGACTTGCACACATGATTGTTGGGTGCTATTACACAAAAGCAGTGCTTGCATTTAAAATGCTTAAAATGGCCCATATTTCTGTCATACCGCTGCAGGGGGTAGTTAGGGAGACCTATCAGGTAGGACAGATGCTACTTCTTTGGCATGCTACTACACCAAGCAAGCACTTGTCAGTTTTCTGGGTATTAGAAAGCGCTCAGTAGGTGACAGGGTTGTGTGCTAAGCACCCCATTTTAACACCTATATTATTATTATTATTATTATTATACAGTATTTATATAGCACCAAAGGGTATGCTCAGCGCTGTACAGTAGCAAGGGGGACAGAACATGAGACAAGACAGTAACAATATAAAACACAAGGGGTTCGAGGGCCCTGCTCTTTTGAGCTTACAATATGTTGGGGACCTAAGGGTTGTAACTGAAGGGAAAATGAATGCTGTTGGGCTATCATTGAAAGCAATTAATGGCTATTTTCTTCAGCAGGCCCCGAATAGTACATTCTACTGGACAATATCATAATCTTGTAAACAATTAGGTAATTTCTTATAATTTATTGTAATACCCTTTTGTCTCATTTCAGGATACTTCCAGGACCTGTTGAATAAGTCGGAGCAGACTCTCCTGGACACTTTCCCTAATCGTTATGGGGAGCTGTACAGCCAGAACGATGGGAAGATTTTCAGAGACCTGTATTCAGAGCTGCGTCAGTATTACCGCGGCCCTGCAGTTAACTTGGAGGAGGCATTAACAGAGTTCTGGAGCCATCTGCTGGAGCGTGTCTTCAAGGCACAGAATCCACAGGTCACTTTTTCCTACGAGTATTTGGACTGCTTAGCAAAGCAGTATGACCAGCTTAAGCCATTTGGGAGACATTCCACGGGAAATGAAGCTAAAAGCCACCAGGGCATTTATTGCTGCCCGTTCATTTGTCCAGGGACTAGCAGCTGCTGCAGACATCGTCAAGAAAGTCACCCAGGTATGTAACCACAATCGCATGGAATCTCAAAATATGTTATGTTGATTCACACTGCAAACAAACTATTTAGACATCCAGTTAATAAAATTAAAAATATTTTAACGTTACCCTGTTAACAGCTATAAAAACAAAAGCTGCTTGTAAAAGTAGTCATTAATACTTACCTGTCCTGCTGCACACACCACTGTTCTCTGTATTAATGATATACCTCTGCCTGAAGAATCTTCAGCATCAGGTACACTTGTGCCCGATGCCTGGTTCCATATGTCATAGATTGGTCAAATTAAATAGCAGTGTCTAGTCAGTTCAGGGTTGGAGTGCCAACGTCCTGATATTTTATTATAAACAGTTGGGAAGTATATATTACATTATTTTTAGTTTTGCAAAAACAAGGGTTACAACTGTAGTGCTAGCATAGATCTCTTACAAACCCTAAAGTGATTCTAAAGGCTTAGTTTTTGGTTTTTTATTAAATAACAAACATGTCTATACTTACCTGTTGTGTGCAGTGGTTTTGCACAGAGCAGCCTGGATCCTCCTCTTTTCGGGCCCCCCTGCCCGGCGCTCCTGGCCCCTCCCTGTCGGGTGTCTCACAGCAAGCAGCTTGCTGTGGGGGCACCTGCTGCTCTGTGTGTCCATTCACACACATAGAGCTGTGGCTTGACCCCGCCCCCTCTCTTCTCATTGGCTCACTGGCTGTGATTGACAGCAGTGGGAGCCAATGGCTGCCACTGCTGTCTTAGCCGATGAGGAGAGGGATTCCCAGGATAGCTGAGATTCCAGTGCACATCGCTGGATTGAGAGGAGGTTTAGGTGAGTATTAGGGATGGCTGGGGGGATGCTGTCCAGAAAAGGTTTTTACCTCCATGTATAGAACGCATGAAAGTAAAAAACCTTGAGCCACTTTAAAGTAGTATTGAACTCACACAAATAACATATTGCAGCTTACCAATCCGTCATGTCGTGGCTGCATTAGTTTTCTTTTTTTTAGGCTTTTTTTTCCCTTTATTTTCACATGGTGATCTGATAGTAACACACTTTTTGTCTTAGGGTGCATCCACTCTATGGGGGAGCAATAGAATCACTTTTAGACAGCAGCACTGTCAGTCTTTTCCTTTTTAGGATAAAATTTTACACAAATAAAAGCTGACCAGAAAGGTCTATTTCCTGCATGACAGTCTAATCACCCTGGTAATCCAATAGAAGTTGCCTGATGTTGAGGATTTGGTGGCAAAATTAAATGATTGTCCACTTTCCTCACGTCTTTTGAGTGTTGCAAGTACACTGAGAGCAACTTGACCATGTGTAAGGAACTTGGAGAGACTGCCTCACAGTTTTCCTGGCAACTGGATACCACTTTAGAATTGAGCTTTGAAGATGGGTGTAGCATCACTATTTCTAGGTAAAATACACAAAAGGAATTTTTGCAGGAAAGTGCTGCAAACTTCAACACTCTACTGTCTGAAGTACCGTATTTTTCGCACCATAAGACGCACTTTTTTCCCCCCAAAAAAGGGGGGAAAATGTCAGTGTGCGTCTTATGGAGCGAATATGGAGCGGCCGGTCCGGTATTTCCACTGCCGCCGTGTCAGAATACCGGGCCGGCCGCTCAGCTCTACAGCAGGACCTTATAGAGATGACTGCTGACCTTTGGGGAGGGGGGGGGAGCGGGTACCTGAATTTGACAGATACCCGCTCCCACTTCCGTGGAGTTGTTCTTTCATCTTACCCGTTCCTCTATCCAGCGGCGCGGCCTTCCCGGCTTCTGTAGTGTGGGCATGACAGCCGGGTGCCAAGTGCGCATGCGCAGGAAGCGGGTGCTTTTTGTGAATGGTAAGGCGGCACCTGGGACACATGACAGATCCCAGAAGCCGCCGGACCAATCACAAAGCGCACGTGCTTCTCGCTCATGCGCACTGGGCATCCGGCTGTCATGCCGAGCGCCATTACAGAAGCCGGGAAGACAGCGCGCGGCTGGATAGAGGAACAGGTAAGATGAAACAACAACTCCGCGGAAGTGGGAGAGGGTATCTGTCAAATTCAGGTACCCGCTCCCCCCCCTCCCCAAAGGTCAGCAGTCATCCCCTGTACTATCCACAGTCTCTGGTCATCCCTGTGCTGTCTGCAGTCTCTGGTCATCCCTGTACTGTGTCCACAGTCTCTGGACATCCCCTGCACTGTGTCCGCAGTCTCTGGTCATCTCCTGCACTGTGTCCGCAGTCTCTGGTCATCTCCTGTACTGTGTCCGCAGTGTCTGGTCATCTCCTGTACTGTGTCCACAGTCTCTGGTCATCTCCTGTACTGTGTCCGCAGTCTCTGGTCATCTCCTGTACTGTGGCCGCAGTCTCTGGTCATCTCCCGTACTGTGTCCGCAGTCTCTGGTCATCTCCTGTACTGTGGCCGCAGTCTCTGGTCATCCCCTGAACTGTGTCCGCAGTCTCTGGTCATCTCCTGTACTGTGTCCGCAGTCTCTGGTCATCTCCTGTACTATGTCTGCAGTCCATTAGTTCAGAATTTTTTTTTCCTGTTTTCTGCCTCTAAAACCTAGGTGCGTCTTATGGTCAGGTGCGTCTTATGGAGCGGAAAATACGGTAATTGCTGTCAGAAGAACTAGTTTTACCGTGAGGAACACCAACGGGAACTAAACTGTTGGAGCAAATTCCCACTATAGAACAAGTATTTCCTTGTTATATACAGATTGCCACCTGGTCAATGGCTCTTTCACCCATCAGCACCCTGAGAAAGGGGATAAGAGATCTGTACTTTAATGGAGTTGTACTCCAGACCAAATTCTAGCACTGATTGTAAAAGAGTCCAGGATATTGGCTAGAGCTGGGGACGCAGGAGAGAAATAATTTCCTGAGCAACAAAGCAAACTTCTTTTTATCCTCTCATATGTAGAGTTCATGATTGATCTTTTGGCCTTCACCAAGGTTTTAACCACCTTGGATGAGAATCCCTGCACCTCTAGTCCCGCCGATTCAATAGCCAGGCTATTAAAAGTATTCTCACTAGATTGGGGTGCTGCTACTGACCTTGGCATAAAAGATCTTGTTTGACTGGAAACGGGATTGGTGGTGCTGATGATATCTGGAGGAGCAGCGAAATCCCTAGGCCTCCTCAGCAGGTAGAAAGCACCTGTATGGCATGAACATGTTCTGTCCAAATTTTCAGAAGCACCTTCATAATGAAGGACACCAAAGGAAGACAAAGACCAATGGAAAATTCCATGGCACTGTGAACCCATCTTGTATCACTGAGTCTTCGCATTTGTACCTTGTTGAAAATATCGGAAACTGCACGTTCAGTGGAGTCTCCATGAGAGCTATTTCTAGAATGCTAATAGAGCCATTGGATTAATGTAGTCGTTGTTGGAAAATAATTATTAATTAAATAGTTATTATACAGGCTTTATATAGCGCCAACAGTTTGCCCAGCACTTTACAAAATGAAGGTAAACATTACAGTTACAATACAATTTGGTACAAGAGGAAACAGAGGGCCCTGCTCATTAGAGCTTACAATCTAGGAGGAAGGGTTGAGTGATACAAAAGGCAATAGCTGTGGGGGATGAGCTGATGGAGGAAGTAAAAAGCAGTTTACTAGTTAGAAGCAGAATAGGCTTCTTTAAAGAGTTTTCAGGGATCATCTAAAGGTGGGTGGATTAGGAGATAGACCGATTGAGGTAGGGAGTTCCATAGGATGGGAGAAGCTCAAGAGAAGTCCTGGAGGCGAGCATGGGAGGAGGCGACATGGGAACTACATAGCAGAAGGTCTTGGGAGGATTGAGGAGAGCAGATTGGTTGATATTTTGAGACCAGGTTGGTGATGTAGCTAGGGGCAGAGTTGTGGATGGCCTTGAAAGTTGTTGTTAGTTTTTTTAATCTTATTCGTTGGGTGAGTGGAAGCCAATGGAGGGATTGGCAGAGAGGGGTAGCAAACACTGAACGGTTGGTAAGGTGGATGAGCCTGGCAGCAGCATTCATGGACTGAAGGGGGGATAGCTTATGTAAAGGTAAGCCAATGAGGAAGACGTTGCAGTAGTCGAGGTGAGAGATAACCAGAAAGTGAATTAGAAGCTTTGTGGTATCACTGGTTAAAAAGGGGCATATTCTGGAGATGTTGCAGAGGTTGAGGCGGCATGAATCCAGGGTTACCCCTAGCACCCTGGCATGCGGGGATGGGTTGATAGTTGTGCTATTAATGTTGACCGAGAAATCAGGGGAAGAGGCATGTGGGGGAGGATATATTATAAGTTCAGTTTTGGATAGATTGAGTTTTAGGAAGTGGTGTGACATCCAGTCTGATATGTCTGTTAGTAAATCATGATATGTGAGGAAACTGATGAGGTGATTTGAGGAGTAGAGAGATAGTTTGTGTGTCATCGGCATAGAAATGGTATTGGAAACAATGGGAAGCTATTAGCTCACCCAGGGAAGAAGTGTAGATCAAGAATAGGAGAGGTCCAAGGATAGAACCTTGGGGGACCCTAACGGTAAGAGGAGTAGGAGAGGAGGAAATAGAGTTGTAAGTGACACTGAAGGTACGGTGAGATAGGTAAGATTCGCACCTATGGAGAGTACAGTCACAGAAGCCAAGTAAATAGGAGTTTTTTTTTTGAGGAGGGGGTGGTCAACTGTGTCAAACGCAGCGGAGAGATTCAAGAGTAAGAGTACAGAATAGTGACCATTGGTTTTAGCTGTTAGTAAGTCGTTTGTGAATTTCAGGAGAGCAGCAGTTTTCTGTGGAGTGCAAATCCAGACTGAAGGGGACTGAGAATGTTATTCTCAAGGAGATGGCAGCTCAGCTGGTTGTAGACTAGATGTTCAAGGAGTTTGGATGCAAAAGGAAGTGAGGAGATGGGCCTTAGGTTAAGATTGGTGGGGTCCAGTGAGGCCTTTTTAAGTATGGGGATGACTAGTGCATGTTTTAGAGGGCTTGGGGAAGATGCCAGTAGAAAGGGAGAGATTGATAATCTACCTGACTGATCCATTGTTAAC